GTTTTTATTCTTGTTTTATTTGATGGTAGCACTTTAATATATTTGCTGCTACATATTCTGTTGGCTGGAAGCAACTTCAGAAATGATGACCTCATGTCACAAAGGAGTGCATGAATGTAGTGGCAGTGTTTTCGAACGCAGTCTGCACATGTTCTGCTGCAGACTAAAGACACATCTCTTCCAACTACACCTAAATAAAATGATCTAAGTCGAGTTGTGATTATATGTTGCACTTGCATGTAGCAATTATAGTTTGGCTTTTCTGAAGCTAATGTACTTAGATGATTCTTGCTGTTCTGGGTTTGTACCCTAATGGTTGAATGCACTTATTGGAAGTCGCTTTGGATAAAAGCTGCAGCTAAATGATATTTAATGTCATGTAAAAAACATTTACTGTGATTTTGTGGGTGGCACAGATCAAGACACTGACTTTTTGCAAGTCCGTTGTCATTTTACATTTTCTTTTTCAGAATTTCACCTTTTAAATGTGTCACTTACATTTTGCCTGCATGTACCAAACAATCAGAGTGAGAGGTGAAATAATGCAGCAGAGCCTTGTCTGGTAATGATTTGTTTTCTCTTTTACTTTGTGTTTTTGCTGTTATGACGACCGACTTATTGAGTTTAGTTTTATATAAAATGAGATTTTTTTGTTGTTTTTCCTCTCAAGTAATAAACACTGAACATCTTCATGGCAAATGGCACCTTCTGTGTGTCTGTTGTCTGCATCAGTAATGCAGCAACAATCCCCGGTTTCCTGCTTGACATCACTGTATGACACATTCAAGTGCTGTGAGCCCTCCTTGTGTGACCGGCACTCATTCAAGCGAGACAGCATATGATATTTGGGCTGTTATTGCAGATAAAAAAAGATTTGACTTTGTGGTATGAAGTAAAGGGACCAGAAATCACTGCAGTATATGTATCATTAGCCATCAAATGATTCAGGACATTGGCTGTGTGGAGATAAAGAAGTGACAATTCAGGTTGTGGTCAGATGGGCTCAGAAGGAAATGCCCTGTCAAATGGACCTGGCTGCTCTGACATATCAGTATTTAACCTTCCTGCAGTCTCTATGGATGGTGCCTGCTCATCATTTAGTACACAGCGCTGGTCTGGACATTTATTCCTCCCACTCGGAGACCTCTCGCCACACTGCTGCAAAATAGAGGAGCTCATGAAAACAGATGAAGATTCCTTACTGTCACTGCACGTGTGAACCTGGCTGCACATGTTGCTGATGCTAAATGAATTGCTTTTCCATTTGGTTGCATGTTAATGTAAAGGTGCAAAAGTCAGAATAGTTCTGAAGGAAAAGATAAAAACATGATGCATCGAGAGTGACATCTGTTGGACAAAACATGAACTTCAGGTATTTTTGGAGCATAAATACATGGACATGTAAAAAGTATCAGCAGCATGATATGACCACATCAAGAAGAGAGATGCATAGATTTAATGCTCACGAACATGGATTAAAGATCTTTTGAGAAATTCTTAGCCTGGCACTATTTTAAGTTTGTCTTTTGACATCCTCAAACACAATCAAATATTATTTCCACACACCGGAGAATTGATTTGCACGCACTTACAACATGTGCATTATAAACAAAAATTCTGTCGAGTTTAATGTAGATGTGAGACACTTGAGTCGTCCCTGCGTGCTGCAAACACAGCCACGCAAAACAAATTGCCCATGTGGCAGCTTTTTCTTTTCACCAAATTGACTTCCTGTCAGGAGGATAACACAATTTAAATGTAGATTTCCTCCCAGTGTTGTGCTGTATTGTTTGACTTTCAGTAAGAAGCTATTACCTGAGTGGGGGGGGGGGAAACACTCCTTCCTTCATTTTGATGAGGCTATATCATCTTCAGGTTCATTTGTCATTCATACAGAAGAGAACAAAAATGATGAAATCGAAACTTGAATAACACGTCTCCATGACCTAATAGACATAAAGGTGTCCAGCTGTGTGGTGGTTTAACAGGGACATTCGTGTAATAGAACTCAAGTCCCCATAAGTATGTGGACACCTGAACGTTACATCTGTATGGGATTAACGAATGTTTCATTATAAATCCATGAGCATTCATCTGATGCTAAAACAGCCTCATTTTCCTGGAAAGGCTTTCCACATCATCTTGGGACCTGGCGGTTGATTTGCTCATCCAGTCAGCGGACACTCTCTGTAGAGCTGTTAAAACCACGTTGTAGTTTTACTGTGCAGCAGTTGTTGCTATTGAGTGTTAGGATACTTCAAAATACACCCCCCCCCCCTCTCTCTTTGTATGCTTTTATCCAGGTTGTCTGCTATCTATTGTCTCCGAGGGGAAACTTCACATTTGAAATTCTACAAGAACATGGAGTCCTGTCCCAACACCTCCAACCCCCTGACAGGCCTAACTAGCACCTATTTTCTCCTGCACTTTGTTTTAGTGAGCATATGTGGTTCTTCGTCCTTACTCCGCTCTCTCCTGCTGCACTGTAGCTTTAGTGTTGTCCCCCATTTGTAAGTCACTTTGGTTAAAAGGGTCTAACAAATGAGCAAATGTTATCTGTCCTTGGCCGCTAGAATCAGATTCAAGTCACAGATAGTCGAATACAGAGTGACATCTGGGAAGTGCACTGCCATCCATGCACACAGGACAATCACAGTCCAGACTGCTCTTGTTTATCGTTCCTTGATGGTGGAATGATCATCAGGGGCGTCCCTCTCTGACTTTGAGACCCTCTTGATGTCTCCTCTCCTCCTGACACCTCTAACATCCTATCAAGCCTAACTAACACCCCTCTTTAACTGATCTCCTATACTTTGCCTTGTTGAACAGGTTCAGCACTAACTACTTAAATCAAGCTCTGCTGAAGCTTCAGCGTTGTCCCTCATTCACTTTGGGTGAAGGTCATTAACAGCTTTCTTATTGTTGCTCTCGTTCAATTTAAGCAGAATTCCTTACAACCTGCAAAATCAATATGACATTTGAAAGACATTTAAGGCCTTACACCCGAGCTGCGTGTTGGCAGGCAGGTGTGATGTAATCACCGGCGCCCATCCGTCTGTCACGGTGATAACTCAGACACTTTCATCCAATTTGGATCAAACTTTTGATTTCTTTTCAAATCCAAAAAAGGTCACGGTCACATCACTTGATCAAATTTTTAGCTTTATGCTAATGCATTGAAAAGATAATAGTAAAAAAGAAATCAAGATCATCAGGTCCAGCCATTTCATGATTTCATCAATTAATAAAATGTCTCTGTACTCAAAGGATAAAACCTTTGATTTGAACAAAGTAGCACATACTGAATAATTTAGACTATATGCAGCATGGCTGTATCGCTCTGTGTGTATCTAGTTGACTATGTGGCTAAAAACAAAGTAACTATTGCCAATGAATGCGTTCCTCTTCATTTCATAAACCTACTGTTGCTATGTCTCAATTCAGGGGCCGTCTCCTCTCAGGGTGGGCTCATACATTCAGACCCGTCCATATCAGTAACCCCCACTGATCTGTTAGTGGTGAATTACCGACGGAAAAGGAAGGTAAATTAATAATATTCATTCAGATTCACGTCTTTGTAAGGAGTTTCATTGCTGAAGCACTAGAAGTCGCTGTGCTTCAAACTGTGAGCAATAAGAAAATCTGTTCAAACATCAGAAATAGTTTTCATGGCTATAATGTGATCATGTTTATTTGTCCTCCTTCAGGTCTCCAGAGATTGTTTCATGGCTTCTGTTCACAGAGGCCAAAGATGTGTGGGTTTCAAGTCAATGACAGCTTCTCTCATACATGTCCCACCTGTCCAGTTTAATCCAGTTGTTTGGGTTTGAGACATTGGGAGATGCTTGTCTGTTTAAGTAATATTGTTGTCAGTTTGTCGGCTTTGTGCTTAAAAGGCTCAAGGATTTGAGTCGAATTTGAATGTTGGCCACTTGGTCGACAACACACGAGCAGTGTGGAGGCATTTTATGTTTTTTCATCCGTAGAAGGGGTCACCAGTTACTTCAGTTGTATTCGATTTGGCTGCAATGCTGTTTTACCCCTGAAATTTCAATTGTCTCGTGGACTCAAACACTTCACCCACCCCTCCATCCATCGGCATAGAGGAGTAGATGATGAGTGCATTTTCATTCTTTGATGAGCTATCCCTTTAAGCAACATCGGCACTGGACAGAAGATGTGTCATTCTGGAACATGACACTTGTGTCACGCTTGTCTTTAGATCAGTTCTATCATGCAAAAAATTAAAGTAATGGTGGTGTTTTCAACTGTGTGGAGCCAGTAAAATGGTTTATTTTTAGTTATGCTCATGACTCTACCCCATAAAGAAGGTGGGCAGTGACAACATGGTTTAAAAGAAGCCTCAAATACAATATGCTGCTGAAATACTGTGAGGAAATACATGCAAACATTTTGAATTTAAAGATAATTGAAGGTTTACATACACACAGTATTAAATCTCCTCACAGCTGAGAATATCCTTATTTTTTCCCCATTTCACAACAGAGCAAATTCAATTCCAATAGATTTTTGATTGTTTGCAGATAAAACAAGGTGTTTGAAGATGTCACTCATCTATAATCATTATATAAATAAGTGTTACTCAAGAAAATAATGGATAGATGAATCTGTCCTGAAAAGAAAACAGAGCAGATTGATGGGCAGAGAGGACAAACACTCCAGGACTTAGAAACAAATTTGAGCCTTTATTGGAATGTTGCAAGGCATTAAATACACAAATTCCATTATTTTAATAATTTGGTATTTAATAATAAAAAAAAACTTCTAGTCTAACAATACTGGTCTGACAGTCGTTCTTATTCAGTTTCATTTTTTTAACCTCAGAAAGTCCCCTCTCTTTTCTTTCACTGCATCAGAGATGGAAACCTGACATTGTTGGAAGTGAAAGCAGATGTGAATCAATGTATTGAGAATTAAAGGGCAGACAGCAATGACACATGGGGAACAACGACACTCCCACCCAAACAAACACTGTGTATCAAAGCTGCATCATGGTTTAAAACAGTCTCTTGTTCATATTGTAATCGATTACATTTTTTTTACCCCTGATTTCCCAAGTTTTACATATAAAAACTTTTGTATGAAATATAAACAAGCTCTTATCGTGATACACAGACATGTAAATTTGAAGCTGATATCATTTGCAGAAATTAAAAGCAGACAATAATATGTTCTAAACTTGTCAATGGTCTCAAGAGTTATCAGATCGTGTCTGGACTCATGTTCTATAAACATAAATAATATGTTCTGGTGTCAGGAAATTACTATCAATGTTTCTGTCATCTTCTTCGGCCTCCACCAACACCACCTTTATATGCATCATCATCATCATCATCATCATCATCATCGTCATCGTCGTCGTCATCATCATCATCATCATCATCACTCACTGCATGTTGCTCAACAGATCCAGAAAGGTTTTTTCAAATCGTTTTGGTTTACAAACCATTTTCCCTCATTTTGAAAAGAAAATACAAAAGACAAGAAAGAAAGCAATAGAGCAAAAAAAAGACAGCAAGAAAAAAAGAAAGTAAGACAGAAATAAAGAACATTCACAATAAATTTTCCAGCCGGTCTGTGTTTGGTCTGGTCTCTTTTCTTTTTTTTTTTTTTTATATTCTGGATCTTCTTTGCGTCCCACATATCCAAACTGAACGAATAATCAAAAAGCATAGAAGCGCCACCGTCGTCCCACCTCCTGATCCTGACCTTTATACCAACTAACTTCCATCAATCCAACAACCCCCTAGCTCCAACCCCACCCACCCGCTTCTGTTCGACTGTGGAGGTCCCAAGTTAAGACATGACTCCAAACACAGGGTTGTGGCGACAGATGCTTGGCCCAATCTCTTCATAGTCCTTTTTGGTGTGACAAACCTGGTAGAACTCCGGCTGTGGAAACAAACACATGAAGGTGAGGATGAGCACAGACAAACATAAGAATAGACGGACATTACTTCTGATGCAGAGATCATTTTCATTTTAAAAACTAAAACGTGTTTTCGTGGACGTACACAAAGAATGTTTTTAGTATAACCATCATATTATTTCACTTTCAATGTGAAAAACTAGTGGATCCTGACACCGGGAGCTCTCATCATCTTCCAACTATGGCCACATTGAAGAAGCGCACCCCTGTAGATTACTTGCAAATTATTGTATAGTCATATCTGCGAGATAGGATCTAAAAACTTCAGTCATTTTAACCAGCGTCCACACTACTGCAAAGTTTTGGAATCGCTTAAACTGAGTTCACTGTGTCTCTCTGGCTGATCTCTCTCTCTTTTTCCTTCCGTCTTTCTCTCTCCATCTCACTCCGGCCAGAGAGCCAGGAGGCATGCAAGGGCTCCACCAGCCGAGCCAGAGTGCTTAATAGTCTGCACGTAGCCCCAGTGACAGCCAGGCAACACAAGGAGAGCCAGCCTGTGAACAACAATCTGTGTCATATTTCCTGCTTATGTCTCTGCTTTATCTATCTTACAAACAAGGACACACAACTAGTGTTGTACTTGCTGAATGAGCTACATTCACCCCCGAAAAAGTTCACTGCTAATGTCAGTTTGCACGGTAGACAGCTTATTAGCAATTAAGCTGCAACACTTCGAAAAGCCAGACATTTGCCTGCAAATGTCAACCCAATCAGTTTAGATGCTAAAAGCTGCCGCAGTTATTATTAGCAGCATCGCCAGGCCTGGTGTGTGAGTCAGCGTTGAAATGAAAGTTTGTTTAAAATATGTTTTAATGCCCCTGATGGCTCAGCTGTCAATCAAACATAATAATACATACATTATACATACCGCCCACTCAGAGGCTAGAGAGCTAATAAGCATTTCTGATGCATCCCTTCAAACTTATTCACACTTAATTATAAATACCATAAATCTAATATCTATATGCAAAAATGCTCAGATTGCAACTTGCTCAGATGATGGAATATAGACTGGAAAACATTACATACCACCAGGACCCTATATTCCCTTACAGGCAGTGACTTAGTGCCTTGAACAAATCAATGATTGGATGAGTCAGAATTTTCATCATTTAAACAAAGATGAATTGAAAGTGAACTCAGACATTAACTTTAATAGCCACGTTAACAATAACAAAGTCAGATAAATATCACCTCAAGAACATATCAAGGATTCAATTATTTATGTCACAGCAGGATTTGGAAAAATGTGTCCATGCCCGGAGTCAAAACTAAACATGGAGAAGTATGATCCTGAAAACATTCTGTTTTTATGGTCCACATATGTGAAACCAGAGAACTGCAGGTCTCTTGCCACTCTTCGTTATTTTAAATCATGTTTGCTACTGCCTTTCATTATATCAAATAATATCTCATCTCTAATTTGTCATGATGCAGTTCAATTTGCCTTGCCTAATAAACTGATAACCATCTTTGCTGATCAAATTATCATCTTCTTCTTCAAACACACACAACCATGTTGATGGAGTTGATGTTGTGGACTGAGGTTTGAAATACTCACAGTTGATGCTAACATTGATCCACCAAACCACACTGCATATCTCTGCATATGATGAGTGATAACTTGGACATCGATTGGTTTTGGCTGAGGAGGGAGAACAGAGAGACAAACCGAGGATCAGTCACATGCAACCACTTAGGCAAAAAGTAGAAAATATGTTAGAGGCTGTAAAGCAATTATATTTGGAAACTTAATACAGGCCATGATGTCATAGACACTTTCTCTATAGAAGAGCAGGGTGTGTCATTGTCAATGCCCAGGATCATTTGGAATAGAAACAGGTTTATAATACTTGAAAACTCAGCATGTTGTTTAATTATTTCCTGGACTTGGATTAGCTACATTCATCATCTGCGTCTTCCATGCCCGAGGTGGATTTATAAATGCCAGTCAGCTAAAGCCTCAGGCTGGATGACATTAAACATCTCATCAACATGAATCAGAGGTACTGTCTCCACAACTCCACCAGCTGAGGAAGAGGCCAGACGAACTAACTACTTCTTCTCATTCTCCCACCTCCAATCAAAAAGGGAAGATTTAAGAAGTTACTGGGTTTATTTACTAATCTGATCTACATTCTCTATACATCTGTACCATGGATATTTGTTGTTGGAAAGCATGTACAATCTTTAAAGAGACATTTTGTGTCTCACACAGTAATTGTGTTTGGTTGAGGGGTATCGATCTGTACATGGTATAAATAATTGGGGACTCTCACCTTGAGCTTGCCTCCACTCAGCTCCTCACTCATCTTCAGTCGAGCATCAACAGACCTCTTTAAATCTCTCTGCAGACGGCGCCCAAAGTCCCTGAACATGGTGGAGCCTCCTGACAGAACAACGTTCTGTGGAGAAAAAAAAGGAGACGGGGATTACAAAGCAGTAAAATAAGAAGCACTTAACCCCTGTGACCTGTGGAAGTGTGAGGGGCAGGATACAGTTGGGAAATGCCACTTGATACCAATGATCTGATACCCGAAATGTCCCAACTCTGCTAATTACTAACGACCAAACAATGTCACGCTACGCATACATTTATTTTAGTATCCTAGCTAAAGTAAAAAAAGTAAAGTAAAGTTTTAACCTTGTCTTCAATGTCTTAAAAATAACCAACTCAATCTGGCAGAGGGTACAATAGGAATAAAATATGTCACACCAGTTAATCACAGACAAAACAAAACAAATATATTAAGTAAAAAAAAAAAGTATGTGGCAGATTGATGAAAGATTACCTTATAGAGCGGACGCCTGACATCAATCGGGCAGTTCTGAATAACCTCGTCCACAACCTCAGAGATAGGCTGGGTGAAGTCAGGGTTGGCAAACTGGGATGGAGAGGAGAGACTTGTTATTCTGTGCTGTCTAAGATACCACAGTAGTTAACACAAACCAAAATATGCTTAAGCAATGTGTAGTTAAGATATCAGGACCCCTCACCTATGTCACAGACTGCATGTTTACATTGTGCAAGTCTGGCAAGCAAGTAACTAAAGCTGGGGTCACACTACACTAATATCTGAGTGTTATGGTTGGTCTCATCTGGATGGTACTTTTTTTTTATAGATGATTGAACAATTTTATGACTTCAGCTAAAACAGTCAACACCAAACTGCTGGAAACAACAACCAAAACTATCACAGCAAGCAAATGGAAGCCCTGATGTCAGACTGTGCTACGTACATATGTACCGTGCACGGCCATCTGTCACCTAAACCCTGGAGCAGATCTGAGCAAATACATACAAAAGTGGGAATCATGTGTCCTTGTAACTGCTCTTTGCCCCTTGTCTAATGTTTGTAGGCTTCTAATTATCTTAAATTGTGTTATGATTCACGCTGCACTGACGCACCTCTGGGTGGAAGAAGATCTCCGGTCCGAGGAAGCGCTCGTAGCCAACATCGATGGTGAACTCCTTCTTGCTGATGGCGTTGATGCCAGTGTACTGCTTGATCCACTTGGAGCCGTCTGTGTCGTACTTGTTAAACTCTTTGACTAGATCTGGGCACACGTAGCTGAACCGCTCCTGAAAGGGACAGCACAAGTACAAGCTGTATTACCATACGCTGACTGTGTGTAAATAAAGCTTGTAAAGAGAAAACAAGGTTAGGACTCTGGTTTCCATCATCCAGTCTAAATTAACCAGCCAAAGCAATTTGCAAATTTCTGTTGCTTATTTTTTTGTGCCAATATTGTTCTACCAATGGGTTATAAGGCAGGAGTGATACCGAGCGCTGACTGTTTAAGGTGTAATTTAGTTTGCTTGTGTAACAGTGTATTCAGAGATGTCAACGTCTGATTTGTAGGGAATGTGGTCTACATTGGCGCGGAAATGAACATTTCTAGACATGACTGCCAATATACACGCCACGTGTTCACTCGATGCTAATCCATTATCTGACTAGACTTTATTTTTCATTTGTGTGTCACGGTAATGAAGACTTCTCCTTGACATCGAGGGCAAATTCTTGGACAACAAGCTATTTAATAAGCACGGGGTGGAGAACTGACCTGAATATTGACCAGTGTCGATAAAATGTGTTGACTTACAGAAGCAATAAGCGGCAAGTAGCGTTAGGTCTTATCCGTTTGTCAAAACAGAACATTATTCAATTTATCTCTGTCCTGTCTGAGGATTTACTCATTCCTGTATACCTGCAGATACAGTATATGGTTTTACTGGACAGTTGAGACATTGTGATACACACTTAATCAGTATTGTTATTTGTGATTTTATCTAAATCTCCTTGTTGAAGCTACTCAACTGTGGTTTTACAATCCATCCATTACCTAAACCGCTTGTTCTTTTAAGGCTGATCCCAGCTGACATGGGGTGAGAGGCAGGGTACTGCACTGATCACCAGCCAATCACATGGTCAACATACAGAGACAAACAACTATTCAATCCAAGAACATTCTTGCTGTGAGGCAACAGTGCCAACCACTGCACTATCGTGCCAATTCTACTGTATTTTTCTCATTTTATATCAATATAATATTGTATGCATTTTCAGTTTACATATCCTGCCGAGTGTCTCTCTACATGATTTGACTACAGATTTCTATTCATACCAGAAACACACCCTCTGTACAAGGATCACCACATTCAACAGTGTTGTGTGTCAGCACTACAGGGGACACTGCAGCACTGTAATCTGCTGCTACTACCAGTTTCCTGCCATAACGTGTTGTATCCCACTGATGACACATGGTATCATTTTTTGTAACTCCAGTCAACACTGGTGGGGTAATTATTGCGTCTTTAGCAGATGAAGTGGATGATGGGAATTGTGGCTGAGGACCTACCTTTACCGCCTTAGCTGTCTCCAGCGACTGCTCCGGTGGGATGCCCACCTCCCTCTCCCTCAGGAGCTGCTGGGTGAAGTAGGTGATGTCTCGTCCTGCGATGGGGATGTGCTTTATACAGCTGCCAATAACGTAACCTTCAGCCTGAGAGAGGGAGGAACAAATAAAGAGACGGACAGAATGAGAAAAAAGCGCTGATGTTTCATAACATTCAACATAAAGACAATGAGAAGATTGAAAATAGAAGAGAGACAGAGTCTATAACTGTTAAAACTGGATGTTTCCATTAGATTACTGCTTCACTTTGAGGCCTTCACATCCCAGCCATGTTGTGTTTGGCTCATTTTTTGCATATGTTGCTGAACATGTGGCCGCAGATAAATGTTGAGTCAGTCAGTCTCTAAATGTATTCTGCAAGCACATTTCCTGAAACGGAGTAATTCCTTCCAACCTCTGAAACACTGTTGCTTGCTTTGAACCATCAACTCTATCCAGTTTCTAAGCAAGTAGACAGGTGGAAACGTTCAGTTTTTTCCAAAGGAAGGACATTCTTCAGGTTTGACCACATTCTGTATAAAACATCAATTCAACACAGGTGCCACTAATCTTAATTCAATTTGAGCCATGGCTGTATATCAAGAGTAAAAAGTCAACATAATGAACAGTTAATAATTAAAATGCTGTTCTGAGGGGAGCAAACATTTATCACTATGTCTCTCTCTAAAATTAAAACAGCCAATTATCGAA